GAAAATATTTTTTTTTTTAAAAAAAAAAAAAAAAAAAAAAAAAACTTCATGAGACAAAAATGTGATTTTAATTTAAAAAAAGGTTTATAAGCAAAACTCAGTAGGCTTTTCTCATGGTGACATGCATTAACAATTCAACTTTTGATTTTGTTGTTTTTTTTCTCCATTTTCACGTTAAAGTTTGATGCAGCTCTGCTTTCCTGAATGGACCATCTTCATCTCCACTGCAAGTGTAGCAAACAGGCAGCTCTTTTTTATAGATTACAGTACACCAAAAGGTTGCATTGTGCCCTTGTTTATATTTTTAATAGTGTAATTCTGTAAAGACAATATGTCTGGTGGTCCAGCTCTGATTTACATATCTTGCTAAATTGCGGGTTTGAATATTGCAATACTTTCCTATAACAAAATAGACCTGCAGAAAGAAATTACTAATAAAATATCTTACATATGCATAGTTGTATGTTCTATGTAGGGTTAGGGCTAGGTTACCCTATCTCACAATTCTGTAATTTATCATTGTTTACTAAACTCTGAAAGCTGTGGCTTTGTTAATATTCTGTCATAGAAGGAGGTTAGATGTGCCCTTTTTGTTTTTTTAAGCACCTGCCCCTTTAGTGGTTTCTGCACAGCCCTGGTCTGCTGAAGCGCCTTTGCATATGCTAGGCTATTCGTATGCTAAGTAGAGTTGTTAACGACTCCCGCCAGCCCAACTTATGGGACTCCGCAATCGACAGTTTTTGACTCCCATGAGTGACAATGCGCTTCCCCGCTAGCTGTTGGTAGCTGTCGGTCACGAGCTCACGGAGTCAGTGTACAGGGTGAAAAACGCCCCTTTTCGTGTAGTTTTTCTGACCGTCATGCTCTTCCTGGTGAGTGTTTGTAGCTGTGCGCTGCTTTACCTACTACCTGATCTCTCCGAATGTCTTTTTTTATAGTAGTCAATATAGTCAATATAGTCGATATAGTCAAACTCTATCAAGTGTTTGTTTTTTAAATGCATGCAATGCGCAAACTTCCCCATTCACTCTCAGAGCATTATAGTTCCACACGACATCGCTTAGGATGCGTTGCTGCGCGTTTGCGCAGTGCGAAGGAAAGAAGGAAAGAGGAGATGAGCTGCACATGCAGGCTGTGAAGTGAGATACAGTTGATCGGTTTGGTGATCGGCAACAAGAGACAGTGATCGACAATCACCAATCATACACTTTTTCACGGAAATCGGCCGATTATGATCAGTGGCTGATCGATCGGCACACCTCTAATGGTAACCAAAAAAAATATAATATATATATAAAAATTCTAATTCAATTCAAAAGTATTTTATTAAGCTCAAAGGAAAATTTAATGTTGTAGTTCATTAATTCAGATTCTTCAAAGAGTAATTGAAGATGGTGATGACTGTTGGGAGGAAAAAACTCTTGTAGTGGTCTGTGTTACATAGGCTACTATGTAACACAGATACATTAAGCTTATGTATACGTACGCTCGTATATTGATTTAAATACATCTTTTGTATAATTACTTCAGACAAACATGCATTCGTTTGGTCAGAATAATAATTAGAATTTTCATGTATTGTACTCACTGGCAGCCATCGAGCCACACATCTCCTCCTCTCAGCCAGGCTCCATGATCCTGGTTTTTGTAGGCTATAAAATGACTGATGATTGCAGGAACTCTGGGTTTGAAGAGGTCTGCATCCTGGTGCGGGCTATACCTATGCAATGTTCCAAAGTAGCACAGTGTGATCATTTAGATTGTCATTGTAATTCATGCTGTCATGTCAAAATCTTAACTTTTCCTGCTAAGTTCCCTCCACTAGTTCCTGACTTTAAGTCCCAGTATTATTGCTGTCTTGCCTTGCCCATGATAGATATCTACTATGTTTATGACATCTGGACTTCGACCCTTGTTACAAGTTGCATCCTCTGCCTTCTACTAATAATACTGACATCTGTCTCTTTGTGTATAATTATTGCCTGTTTATTGAAGCCCAGACTGAAGAGGAGCACTAAAATGATCTTTAATAAGGACTTCCCCTCCTCATGTGAGCTAATGATACTTTGTGAGTGAAGGCATGCAAATAATGACCATTTTTCCCTTGGTACATTCTAGTAACCAGCCTGCTTCCT